GCTGTATGGTGGGGTGAGTCAGGACATTAAATTTTTATTTCTGGAAAAAAATTCCACAGAACTGATGGTGGGTAAGGCCATGAGAGCCAATAAATTCATGTTGGTACTAATGGTTTGATGCCCACCATGAACTGACATACTTTCCACAAAGTACCACTAATGAAAAATCACAGACTTTAAACACCTTCCATTTTCAAAAGCTTTGTAAATGTGTCCACCTAAGTCTTTTTCTGCTTAGCACCTATTTTAACCACTATCAGTTGTAACTACATCTTTGAGGATTTCACTTCAGATTGTTCTGAATTAGTATTTTTTTAATTTCTTTGAAAATAGTTTTGCCCATAGTTACTGCATGCAGATTGTTTATGGAGGCCAATTCTCCACTCCAGACTCACCATTGACTCAATTGCCAGCATCTGTAACATCTGTTGACCCATCAAAAGCCAAGGAAAACCCCTCAAAATCACTTGCATCATTTTCTTAAAAAACAACTATTGGTTTTGTTCTCAATGTCCTCAACTCTTCAAGCAACTGTCGTCAGTGGAAAGTTTAACAGACTTACAGGAGTTTTACTTCTCTGGACACATTTTTAAAAATTGCTTCAGCCAAACATAATTCCACCAATTCAGCAGAGTTACATGGCTTTCCTTTCTTGGCCATTCAGAAACTTACTCTGCTTACAGCCTGGTGCCAGGCAAAAGGAGCCGGTAACAGAAGTCCTTACAGTATGAGAACAAGGCTATTTATATAACCTCTAAAACCATCGAAAACAACACCATGCTTTACTTGTGAGTACCTGTGGCCAACACAAATCACCGTGTGGAGACGGCCCGAGCAGGTCTGTGGGGTGCTGGCTAGTTGGATCTCGGGCCCAGAGACACAGCACGTGGGCCTCTCCTACAGCAACTGGCGTGCTGGGCCTTGCCCTGGTCCGGGAGGGGCCGCCCTCCCATCTGCAGGCATTTGGTGGGGTCTGAGGCGAAGAGTGCTCTCCTTTGCCTGCTGAAAACAAACAGCTTCTGATGGTCTTTACTGGCAGGATTGGGGAAGAAAAAAAAAAAAAAAGAGGAAAAATAAGTCAACTGCACACCAGGTCCAGGGGCGAAATGCTGATTTGGCCCAGCAATGAAACCACAGCTGAAACGGCCCTGCAACTAAAGCCCCACCTGGTTACGTTGACAGCGGTCCCGGGCATTCTCCAAGATCCACCCGGCTCTGCACAAACCAGCTCAGCTTTTAGGATGGGGATGCCCTCCTGCATCTTCCCGGTCCCTGCAGGAGTTCCTCTGCACGTGTAGTCTTGTTTGATCGCATTTTGTCAGGAAGAGGCAGTCCCAATGGCTTCCCCCCCCATGGCTGCCCTCACTCCACAGACAATCAGTGCAGGGATTCTGTCCGTTGCTGAGGGTGTTTGTTCTGTAACTGGGGACATAGCTATTAGATGGGTTCAGGGCCCTGTGGACTCACCGTGAGACAGACCTGAGCTAAAACTCCAACCACCATCCGATCGCCAGCAGCCTTGAGAGGGCAGGGCCTTACCCCAGCTGTCTGAGGCTCGGGGAGGCCAGATGGTTTATGTTAAGTTTCACAGGAAGACACCCCCACCCTTTCCCAGCCCCCCCCTGAGCATGGCCTCCAGGGAAGTGGCTCAAGGCCAAAGCTAAGGGCAACATCAAGGGGCTCAGAGCCTACAATTTGGATCAAAGATTTTCTTCTGTTAGATGTGCCAGAGATAGTTCTTGGGAGAAGTTTGTTTTTCTCAGTGTCTATAAATGGGCCGCTGAGGGGAGCAGCGGCCAGAGGACCTGCCTTCCCCCAATCCTTTGGACAGTCATAAAAAAAACCCAGTGTGGTGACATTCAGGAACTCATGGGGCCCTGCAGACCTGCGAGGAAGTTCTGGGTGCGGGCTATGGACAGGAGAGGAAAGAGAACTGATGTCAGAGAGTGACAAGCCTGGACTGTGCCATTTAAGCCTCAGTTTCCCCTTTTCTAAAATGAGGCCGATGGCGCTCGGTTTCCTCTGAAAGACTGGTCTGTGGTGCCGATGAGATGTCTGAGAAGGCACTTTGCAGAGGCGAAGCTCTACTGAAATTCAGGCGGGGTGGGGGTGGGGGGAGTCTCAGGCCAGGAAAGGGTGAGCAGTTCTACCGATAGGACCAGAGATAATGTGGGCTCATGTGACTACATCACATTGGGGGGGGGGGGAGACAAGATTATTTGTTGTATAATGAAAATGAAAATTTAACTGGGCATCCTGTATTTTTTTTTCAACTTCAAATGTTACTGCTTTTTCCATTCACAATATTAATCCTGTTTCCTGTTTCCAAATGTGTTCCATTTGTGTCCACTAATAAATAGAATTGAAGTGAATAGAGGGTTGTTCAGGGGATTTCAATTATCCTCCCAAATCAGAATGACCTGGACCTGCTAGGAATTTTTTTGCATTAGGAAATAATTGATAGAACGGAAACACTGCCAGCTTATCCTGAATACATCTCCCACCTTATCTTTTCACTAGTTTTCTAACGCAGTTTCTTGTAGAGAAGCATGTGTTATTGTTTTATTTTTATTTGTTTGGGTGAATCCTCACTCAAGGATATTTTTTCGACTGATTTTTAGAAAGAGTGGAAGAGAGAGAGAAAGACAGAGAGAAACATCAATGTGAGAGAAGCAAATCGGTTGATTGCCTCCTGCATCTGCCCTGACCAGGGCCGGGGCCAGGAAGGAGCCTGCAACCAAGGTACATGGCCTTGACCAGCATCCAACCGGGGACCATTTGGCCCCAGTCCAACGTTCTATCCACTGAGCCAAATTGGCTAGGGCCACGTGCTATTTTTACCTTTAGGATAAGTGCCTGACATGGAAGGAAGATCTCACTGAATTATTAACATTCTCACTACTTATGGGTGTGGGCTGTTGCAATTGAATAATTTATCACGAAGTTGTGATTTTTAGTAACCATTTCACCCTCAGTCACTGTAAGAGAGTAGATCCCCCTTATCCTCTGTACATTCTATGTTTTCATTCTGGAAATTCCAACAGGATTTGTTCTTTGAGTTCATTGCTGCATCTGTAAACATCTGCAAATAATGTCATTTCCTTTGAATTCTGTCCTGCGTGTGGTAGAATGGGTGGAGAGGCCAGACCCACTTGTCTAAATATGTGGAACTGTCTCTGTCCCTTCCTTCTCCTCTTCTTCACCATCATAACCCTCTTTTATATCTGCTAGCACATGTCTTCCGAGGTCTCCCTTTTGACATCTCATGGTGTTTTTATTTCAGAGTTAATGTCATTCTGGAGGGACCTTGTCCTCATCTGCTTGGCTGCCATATGGGATACTGTGGACTGGGTGTCCTAAACCAGTGGTCGGCAAACTGCAGCTTGAGAGCCACCTGCGGCTCTTTGGCCCCTTAAGTTTTTAGCAAAGGCCAGCTTTGGAGTACCCTAATTAAGTTAATAACAATATATAGTTTAAGTTTAAAAAATTTGACTCTCAAAAGAAATTTCAATTGTTGTACTGTTGATATTTGGCTCTGTTGACGAATGAGTTTGCCCACCACTGTCTTAAACAATAGAAATAGATTTCTCACAGACCTTGAGGCTTGGAAGCCCAAGGTCAGGGTGCCAGAATGGCCAGGTTCTGGTGCCAGTACTCTTCCTGGCTTGTAGATATCCACCTTCTCACTGTCACCTCACATGGTGGGAGAATATTAGGCAGCTTTCTGGTGTCTCTTCCTATGAGGGCACTAATCCCATCTCGAGGGCCCCACCCTCATAAACTTATCTAACCGTAATGACTTCTTAAAGTTCTTACTCCCAAATAACATCACATTGGGGGTTAGGGCTTTAACATATAAATGGGGGGAGGGGACAAAGTTCATCCATAGCCCCCCACTAAGATATGGAAGAACCCGTGCTTGATTATCAACGGTATTCCTATGGAGTCTCCCCAAGTGTCACCTCCTCTTCCTCCCTCCACAGTGGTGGAGGTGAAAGGTTGTGGCCCATGGACTTCTGCATTTCCTCTGCCATCTCACCTTGGGCCATGTAACGGAAACACAGGCACTGGATTTCCCCAGGCAATCACTTCTAGTCACAGGCTGCTGAGGCCTGAGGTGTATGTTTCACTGAAAAGGACAAAACACACCCCGTGTTAAATCTTTCTAAGCCTAATCATACACTTACAATTGTGAAAGTGGAAAGAAGCAGTGGAAACATGGGAGGCTCACAGGTTGGTGATGCCTGGGGGCGTGGTGGGAGAGCAGCCAAGAAAACCTAGGGAATTCCCACAGAACATGTCCCTTCACCCCTATCCAGAGCCTCCAGAGAGCCATTCTTTCAATGATCTGCAAGAAAACGTGTGTAAAAAATGGCTTCTATAGAATGGGTTACTTCTCATTTGAAATGAGGTCCAATTGGTTTTTAAAGTACATATTCACTTCATGTGCTCTTGCCCAACATTTGGAAGTTTGGCACGCTGGACACAGCACGGGCTCTGGAGCAAATGACACCGAGGTGTGGGTCCCAGCCCTGCCACTCTGTAGCTGTGATATCTGAGAGATATTTCAGAGCCTCCATTTCCTCCTCAAAGAAATGAGACTAATTCCACCACAGGATGGCAGGGAAGTGAGGTGTGAATGAGCTCACCTTTATAAAGAGCCTAACCCCCAGCACCTGAGACAAATCCAATACTCACTTCCCCCCTTCCTCCCCATATGGATTTCATAAACACACGAGTAAAACATTGAGGAAGCTGTCTGGTGTCTCTTCCTCTGAGGGCACTAATCCTATTTCAAGGGCCCCACCCTCATAACCTCCTCTAACCCTAATGATCTCCCAATGCCTCTATGCCCAGATAACAGGGTTAGGGCCTCAACATATAAATTGGGGTGGGGAGGTGGGGCGTTCGCACAGTTCATCCGTAGCCAAAACATATACAAAACCAGGCACCCAGGACACAAAAGCGGTGTTTATTTGTCCAGCTTGATGGAAGCCGGTTTACAGTTTAGTGGAGCAGTCACACTCGTCCCCTGGCATGTCTTGTACAGGGTCCTCGGCGGGCGGAAGTGGGCAGCAGCGAGGGCAGAGGTGCCTCTGGAACGCCTTGTCAAGGAGCACGTAGAGGAGCGGGCTCACACAGCAGTGGGTGCTGGCGATGATGCCCGTCACCTGGACGCTCCTGTCCAGGAGGTAGCGGCTCCCGCAGTCCCGCAGGGAGAAGGAGTCCTTGAACGTAGACAGGAACAGCGCCACGTTGTAGGGTCCCCACATCAGAAGGAAAACAACCACAATGGCGAAAACCAGCCGGAAAAGGTCAGGCTTCCTCAGCGTTTTTCCCAGCCGCACAAGGCAAACGATAAAAACCAGCAGTGGGACCAGAAGGCCCACCACAGTCACCTTCAAGGTCAGAAAGGGCTGCCAGGCCGTCCCCTGGCCCGGCAGGAAGGGAGACCTGCTGCAGGGGCACCTGGCCCCCGCGCTGTCCCCCTGAACAGTGCACAGCAGGACCTCGGGCAGCGCCAACAGAGCGGCCGCCAGCCAGGCCAGGCCACTGGCCAGGATGCCGCAGGCCCTCCGCTTGGCCACCGGAGACAAGAGTCTCACGTCGAAACACACCAGGTAGCTCTGCAGAGTCAGCAGGGCGTTGAACAGCGCCTGGCTGTGCAGGCCCACGGAGGACAGGGCCACGAGAACTGTGCACGTGGGGTGGCCCAGGGTGCCCCCGTGGGAGGCGGCGTGAGCCTGGATGGGCAAGGTGAGCAAGGAGCACAGATTAGACGCGGCCAAGTTCAGGAAGTAGATGTGCTCCACCTGGCAGAGCCGGTGGCATTTGGCCAGGATGGACACCATCAAGATGTCGTTCAGGAGGCCCAGCAGGAACGCGGTGGTGAAGAGCTGAGGCAGCAGCTGGGCTGAGAGGATGGCGGGGTCGTACGGGGAGCATTGCTCCGCGCCATCCCTTCCGAGGGTCTCGTTGTCGGGCAGAGGGTCGTAGATGAGAACGTCGTAGTCATCATCGTCCGTGTAGTTAGCCATCGCCGGGCTGCCCTGCACAGAGAAAGGGGAGATGATGTTATCGCAGACAGCTGCCCGGCCCCGGGGGAAACAGCAAACAGGTGAGTGGCCGCGCAGCACGCTTTGAGCCCGAGGACGTCTGCAGCCCAGAGGAGGGAAAACAGACGTTTCTCCATCCCGCCCCTCCTTAAACCACGTGGGCTGCTGCGCCCGAGACTGACACCCCCCAGGCAAACGCAGGTAAGGACACGTCTTCTAAGAACGTCATTCATTCTCTGGGCAGAAACAGGAGCCCGCGTGCAGGCCGTGTGTAAGACAGAGAGAGACAGGAGCTCCCGTGCAGGAGAACCCAGAGCCAGGGTCCCAGCCCCCATCTGAGAAGATGGCTCACCCCCAGGCAGCTTCCTGTGACAGGCTGGGAGCTCCGAGTTCCTCTCTCGGAGGACCGGAGCAAATGCCTGCAAAAGCGAAAGCATCCTAGGCCCCACTTGGCCTCGCTGGTGACACACACAGATGACTTACCCTTGGCCGAGCCCGCAGGGCTGGGCCTGGGACTGGAGACACGGGCTTCCTGCCAGCCCAGCGGGCGGCCCTGACCCCTAGGGGCAAGAGAAGCCACCGCGTCTCCCTGATCGCTCTGCCCCAGGCGGGGCTCCTCCAGGAGGAGCTGAAGGAAAGCCCACGGAAGGCTCCCCGGACCCCCAGGCTGTGACTCAGCCTTCGAAGGAAACCAGGAAGTTGTCGAGTCCTCCACCTCCCCCTGGACCCGCCTCTGATTCCCCGGGCCTCCTGGCCGCCCCAGATAAGGGAACTGGGCTCGGCTGCTCAGGGGCGATAGGAGGGAGGGCTGGGGAGGCCCGCCTGACTTGTGTCACTGAGCGGGGACCAGCTGCAGCCAAGTGTCCCGGCGGCGGTGCCTGCAGCGGCTCCTTAGCATCTGCACAGCCCGCACCTGGCATCCATCCGGGGCTTCCGGAACTTGTAGTGAGAACACCCAGGGACCGTGCTGGGTGTTTCTAGTCACTTTTGACTGAGGGGGTGGGGTCTCAAGAGAGGATTTCCTCCGCAGTGGCAGCCACAGGGATGTATCCCTCCGGAAGGGGGTGCAGACGTGGGGTGGGGTGTCAGTGCAGGGAGCGTGGGCTGCTCTGAGTACCGACAGCCCCACTCCATGGGAACCAGGGGCTTAGGCGAGCCGTGAGGAGCTGACCCTGCGCCCCGAGGGAGAGCCCAGCGCAGGAACATTCCAAGGTGAGGACTCGGAGGCAGAGAATGTGAGGATGACACGTTCAACCCCAGACGGGGCAGGGGCGAGGCGAAGCTTGTGGCCAGGAGAGAGGAAGGTGGTGGGCGGTCGGTGTGGAGGCAGGGAGGGTGGGAGGGCTGGGAAGAAAGCTGAACTGGGAAGAGGAACTTGATTGAAAGGGCTGAGCAGTCTGTCTGAACGCCCAGGTCCAGGGTTGGTACCTGTGATCGCCCACCGCGGGGGGACCCTTAGCATCTACGTTGCTGATCAGACGGCATCCTGTTAACGCCACGGAGGTGCTCGGGGTAGCATTCCACCCAGAACGTGGACCTGTTAACACAGAAATAAGGAAAGCATTAGAAGAAAGGAAAAACAAACACCAGAAGGACCCAGACGAACATGTGACCGAGCATTAAATTTAACTCAAAGGGTGATGCAGGGTGCTCCTCCCTAAGCAGGGGTGGGTGGCTGGTGGGAACCGGGGCTGTGACTGTTTCCCAGCCAGTCCTCCTGCCGGCCCCCCCTCTCACCCCCCCCATGGGCTCCTGTGAGGGAGGGTCACTGTGCCCTGGGAAGCTCTGGCCAGTGGTGGCAGCTGTGGCCCTGGGACCAGCAGAAGTCACTCTTCCTTCAGGGGCTCTACCTCCTGTGGCCAGGCTATTTGGAAGCACACCAGCCCCCCCTGCCCCCCACCTCCCCAGAACCTAGAGTGAGTAGGTGATGGCAGCTCTTGATACTCTATTGCCTGATGCCGACTGGTCGATCGCAGGCCAGGGGATGAGGGTCAAGTCCAATGTTGAGACTTGGAAAACCCCATGAATACACACTATGCACGTGATATGGTTAAGTGGAAGGAAATTGCAGGCAGGCACTCGAATGTGTCACGGGATTATGAGAAATTGGAAGTTTCCCAAGAAAAACTACCGTGTGTACATTCAGGAACATCCTACTTCCTGGAATTAGCATGGCCTTCGCTTTCAGTATTGTTTTGTTTTGGCTTGATTTCTAGCATTCTGCTTGTCCACTGGGTCCGTTCCCTAACCTCCCTGGAAGCCCCAGTAAAACCAACCCACCAACCCACTTCTCCCCTCCATGCTTTGTTTGAGTGAGTGTTTCTAAGACCAGCAAGGTAACACCATTTAGCCACGAAGACAAGATCCATCGCTAACTTACGGTCGGTCTCCTGTCTCAACTAGCTTCCAGACATGTTTCTAGGGAAACAAAGGAAAGCCCTGACTATTTGGCTCATTGGATAGAACATCGGCCTGTGAACTGAAGGGTCCCAGGTTCGATTCCAGTCAAGGGCATGTACCTTGGTTGCAGGCATATCCCCAGTAGGGGGTGTGCAGGAGGCAGTTGATCGATGTTTCTCTCTCATTGATGTTTCTAACTCTCTATCCTTCTCCCTTCCTCTCTGTAAAACAATCCAATATATATATATATATATATATATATATATATATATATATATATATAGAGAGAGAGAGAGAGAGAGAGAGAGAGAGAGAGAAACACATACTGAGTAAAAACTTCCATATCCTGAAGGGTTTCTAGGACTTTTCAGATTCTAAGACAAAGTGCTGACTTAGGGCAATACAACAAGCCCACAAGAATGGAATGGACCCTTGTCCAATGAATGGGTTCTGCTATTAATATTTTGCTCCCTTTTTTAAGGATCTTGATTCCTTATAAAATGTTTAATCAAATCATGATTTAATCAAACCAGTCAGGTTTTAATTATGGTCTGTGAAGCCTACCAACTGTCTCTCATGATGATCCATTTCCTTGGATATTTGCAGTCTCCATGTGAGTTCAAATTTATTGGGGATTATTTTCTCTGCATGAGCTTTGCATGGCCTGAAGGGGGAGCACTCCCTTCTGGGGGGAGTTTTGCATTTGTTTCAGCCAGAAGCACCTGGGGCCTCACTGACCTGAGATGAGTTTTTTTGGTCTGCTGTTGTGGTCTCCTGTGTTGAGGGTGTTGTGGAATGGAAACTCGTATTTGCACGAGGCATGGATTTTGGATTCCCAGAGGAGACTCTTCCCTCTACTGCTTAGAGCCTAGGCAAGGACTGGTCCGCTGTCTCATTGTCTTCTGCCTGTGGGTGCATTTCTTCTAGTCCACCTTTCCCTAGCTTTGTGCCAGGACATCTCGGTTCTAGCTCTCCATCTCACGTAGCCCCAGGCTTCGCTGTCCCCATGTTGAAGTCACAGTTCGTGGCCTTTGAATGCATGTGGCCTTTAATTTGTCTACACCAGTGGTGAGCAACTGAGTAGTGTTTGTTGAAAGTAACATTCGTTTATTCATTTCACAGGTATTTTGTGCCTACTGTCCTGTAACCCTTCCTTTCCCCCTCTCTGTACACTCTCCTTTATCCTGCTTTATGTCCAGAGAGACTGAACTTATTACTAGTAACAGCAGATCCCCTTCAGCCTATGATTTTCCGCCGGGTTTGGCCAATGGGAGTTTCAGGTAGGAGATTGGAGGCTCTTTCCTGATTGGATGTCCTTCTTGGTGGGGCAGCTCTTGCCAGACAGCACCCTCCTCTTGGCCTGTGGTGGGAAAGGCGGTCCACTCTCACCAGCACTGAGTCCTGCAGTATGTGCTGAGTTCCCCTTCCCCTGTCTCAAGCTTTGTAAAGAGCCCTCCAACCAGACTCCCCTCAGTTGCCCTACTGGAATGTGCCACATGTTTCCTAGCAAGACTGTAGGACACATCTCCCGAGTGCCAGGAGCTTTGCCCCGGGAGAAAATGATGAGCAAACTAAACCCATTCCCTGCCCTCATGGCATTGACATGACGATCTAGAGCAGTGGTTCTCAACCTTCCTAATGCCGCGACCCTTTAATATAGTTCCTCATGTTGTGGTGACCCCCAACCATAACGTTATTTTTGTTGCTACTTCATAACTGTAATTTTGCTACTGCCATGAATTGTAATGTAGATATCTGTGTTTTCCAATGGTCTTAGGTGACCCTGCTAGCGGTTCCCAACCTGGTAAGTTAAAGTTCAAGAAAAAAATATTACAGGATAGTAGTCACATAATAAGCTCAAGTACCACAGGCTGAGAACCACTGATCTAGAGGGATATGGTCAGATACATAACTGATTATAACCCAGGGAGTCAGGTGATAGGCTGGGAAGCACATGGGCGCTGTGGGGCAGTCAGCAGGGGCACCTGCCCAGCCCAGAGGGCTCAGGGGAGGTGTCCCAGGATAGCTGTCAACTAAGCTGAAAGCCTGAGTGGGAGTTAGCCAGGCGCGGAGTGCATAGCCTCTTCTTCTCCCTTTTCCTCCCAATGTCTTCCTTTTTCAGATCCTGGAGGGACAATTTACTTGTATCACAGAGATGGGACAAGGGAAGAGAAAGGGACATAAACCAGGGTGGAGAAACTTTATTAGTCACTAGCACCTGTGACTGAGTATTGGTGGAAGAGAAAGTTGGAGTCAGGCACTTGGCTATTTGAGACCGCGCTCCCAGGAATGCAGACCTCTCAGCCAGGGTGTTGCAGGCAGAGGTCTTGTTGATCTAAAGGGCTCCCAGGAGACAGCGTGGAAGGGACCCAGCAGAGGCGGGACCCAGCAGAGGGGCAAGCTGACCGCAAGGGAGTTCCAGCGGAGGCCTCAGCTGATCTCAGGAGCTCTGGCGCTGGGCTGGCCCTGCCGCGTTGTCCCACACTGAGGGACGGGGCATAGCCTGGCAGGCAGGTCCCAGCAGCTGAGGGTGGTTCCCCGTGACGTTTGCAGCTGCCCCAGCCCCAGCAGCTGGGCGAGTG